CTACAAAGTAACTAGATCATTTCTCCATACTCTGAATGTAATCACGTAAATAGCAGCATCTTTTCGTTACCCAGGAAAAGAGGAAAAAAAAGAAACATATTGCACTACTGGAAGAATGTTATCCTAGCATTTAGTGAGAAAGGCTTTCCTTCCTAGATTTTATTTCTCCTGGTGGAAAATCATGACAGAACCTGTGATAATGTAACTTTTCTGTGAAGAGTTGCACATACATGCCGTGGGACAATACATTTGCATACACCCTCAGCTTTTTGTTTTTTTTAGGAAGGCACAAGAACTGTATATGTTTAGTGGCTCCAAGGTGCCTTGGCTAATAATTTTTGATGCAGTATTATCACTGCTCTCTCTCATTCTAGAAATGCAGGGTTAATTGTGTAGTGTCAGATAGTAGGAGTGTTTTTCATTAAAATTTTCAGAGGCACATCAATGCAGCTTTTTACAATATAATAGGCAGTGATTAACTAGCCATATACTATGGCAGCAGTAAACACCACTAGCTGTTAGCATCAAGGTAAGAAATGGCCTGAGCCATACATAAATCATGGATAAGAATCACAGAGACTGGAACGGACCTCAAAAGATCGAGTCCAACCCCCCCTGCTCTGGGCAGCAATACTGCTGAGATCAAATGATCCCAGCAAGGTGTCTGTCCAGTTTCCTCCTGAAGTTTTCCCAAGCAAACTGCACCACCGTCTTGGGAAGTCTGTGCCAGGTTCTGGTCACCCTTACTGTGAAGTTCTTCCTTACATCCAACCTGAAGGTAGGATCATATTAAAATAAGGCTGAAAGGGCTTCATAAGGTCATCAAGTCCAGCCCCCTGCTCAAGGTAGAACCATCCCTGATTTAGGCCATCCCTGCCAAGTAGCTGTCTAACCTGGCTTTGAAAATTTCCAGGGGATAGAGATCCCACAACTTCTCTAGGTAGCTTGTTCCAATACTTACCAACTCTCATAGTCAAAAAGTTCTTTCTAATCTCCAACCTAAAATTTCTTTGCTGCAGTTTGAGGCCACTGCTCCTAGTCCTGTCAGCTATGGCCACAGAAAACAGCCTATATCCCTTCAGATATTTGAAGACTGTTATTAAATTCCCTCTGTTTACTCTGCTAAATAATCTTTCACCTTTCCTCATATGTCTTGCTTCCCAGGCCTCCACTCATTTTTGTCCCTCTCCACTGGCCTCTCTCTAGTCTGTCCACATCCTTATGAGACTGTGGGACCCAAAACTGGGCACAATACTCCCTGTGAGGCCTTGTAACTGCTAAATAGAGTGGCAAAATCACTTTGATCTGCAAGCAACACTGTTCTTAAAACAGCCCAGTATTGGCTGCATTGGCATTTTCTGCAACAAAAGCGCACACCATCCATTGTGATCCTTCTTTGTGGTACTTCATTATAGTCTAGGGTTGTCCAGCTGGCAGCCTGCGAGCTACATGAAGCCCCCATGAGGTCAATGTATGGCCCCTGAGCTACTGGTCCAGACATGACTCCCCCCTTTGTTCTGCCACTGGAGTCCCTGGGCTCCCTTCCTTCCTCGAACTTCTGCTGCCTGCGCCCATCCCTGGGCATGGGATGGAGCATTCTGGCCTGTAGCGTTGAAGGAGCCCATAGGTGGAGAGCTCAGCGGACACGGGGACCTTCCTTAGCATCCACATTGGTGGGGTGAAGCAGGAGTCACCCATTATGTCAGAAAAAGGGAGGGTGGCATGGGAAATGGGGAGGGCACTATATAGACTATTACAGACACAGAGAGGGAAATGCTATGTGGTGCACCCACCCAACTTGATGTTATCTGCTAATTTGCTAAGCACACACTCGGTCCCATTCTCCAGATTGTTAATCAAGAGGGTAAACAATATTGGACCTGAGACATCTCAGGGAACCCCACTTGATACCCCTCCTTCAAACTACACGTTGATCCATTGGTGACTACGCTTTGAGCACAATAATATCCACCTTCTATATTTACCAACCAGCTATGTATCTACTTCCATCTGGTATATACTTTCTCAGCGTATTGATATGGCTATCATACAGATTTTTGTACTTGCTAGGTTATGTGAGGAAGCAAAAAACTGCACTGCTCAAAGTTTCTGTGGCCAGTATCTCTTATTCACTGCAGCCATTTTATCCAGTCTAATGTCTTTAGAAGTTCCAAAGGACTGCTCACCCCGCAAGGCCCAATATTGACTATATTCAATCTACCAAAATATCCTGGAGGTCCCTAATAAAATAAAATTAGGGCCCAGCCTTTCACGAACACATGCAGGGCCTTGCAGGCACAGGCCCTCGGTTTCTAAACTCCTTATACTCAACACATTTTCCTTTTCACATTTGCTGATCATGTTGACAGTACTCAATTAAAATGAGTTAAAATGAGTCATTTTCTCAGTCCTACCTATAAAACATCCCCATCTCAGGCACTAAAAGACTGAACGTTTGTCATAGACCATGAATTCCATAAGGAACATCATTTTTATAGTTTCATAGGTGTTAGGGGCTGGAAGATCCTTACAGATCATCAGGTCCAGCCCCCTGCACTTGGGCAGCACAGACTGCTGGGTGATGATTATACATGGAAGGTACTCAGGTTCTTTGGTGAAAGGAGGCAGCGTAAAACCCTATGATAGTTTGTTTGATCTCACATTTACACTCAGTAGCTTGTGCTTCTATTTCACTCTCCCAAACTTCTGCTTTATTGACAAAATCTGCACTGCTGGATGGAGGCAGAAACTACGTACATGAATAAAGGCTAAAGTGAACCTATAGCAAATGACAGCAAGAAAAGGGTGTGTTAAATAAGAAGTGTAACAAGGAGTGGTTGAAGAGCTCTTGAGTACTTTGATAGAAGAGATCCTTTAATCTTTGTGCATTGTGTATTGTGCATTTCAATTGGATGTCAAAGCCATATGAATATGTAACTCAAATGAATGTAAAACAGAGCCCACTTGAAAATCATATGAAAATAAGCCTCACTTACTATTAGCAATGGCTTGCTCAACTGTACAAAATTATTGAAATCATCTTCATTCTAGAAGTAACATCCATCTTGTTATGACTTCATATGGTTTCAGACATTCAGTACAGGCAAAAGATTCAAGCCACTTTTTTTTTTGCTAATCAGAAAATTATTGATGGAATTAACACCTGCCTCCCCACCACCCTGTGTTCAGATGGGACATTATTAACCCCAGTATGAAAGTACAATAGCTGTTTTGTTTGCTTCTTTGTGGTTTACTTTGACTTTTTCTTGTCCAGGAGGTTCACTTTTAAAAGGGACATACCATACAGTTATGTTTTACATTGTAGCTAGTATTTGGTCCAGCAGGGAGACATTTAATCCTTATAACAAGGTCCACTGGATGACCTTTCTCACATGAAAACAATGCCAGATTTTGTGGGGTGGGGAACAGAGCTAAAACTTTGACCATGATGTTTACCACAGTCTTAATGCTGGATAGGCCTGTTAATAATGCCAAGCCTAAATGCCCCCCTCTTGCCTTCGGTGTTCCTATTGTCTGTATCTGCACGTTGCCTCTCATCATATATTTAGACTACAAATTGTTTGGAGCAGGGAATGTCTTTCAGTGTGGTGTATACAGTGCCTAACAAAATGGGCCCCCTGCTTCTGATTACAGCCTCTAAACAGTTTTGTAGTACAAATAGTAAATGATAATATGAATATATATATATATATATATATTCAAATGAAAGTGGCCTAAAATTTGGCATTATGATTGACGGCACCAAAACTGTATCTGCTTTTCTAGGAGCTAAGCCACTGTAACTGGCATACCTGAGCACCTCACAGATAGAAACTAATTTATCCACCCCAAATCAGTGTGCAGAAGGGAATGAATATTTCCATTTTACAGACAGGGAATGAAGGCACAAAGGGATTTACAGGCTTACCTAAGGTCACAGAGGTCTGTGATAGATCTAAGACTTAAACAGCTCCCAAATCTCAGTACGGTGCCTTAACCAGACCTGGTGAGGGACTTACAATTTCCCCTGGCGGTCGGTGGTCTACAAAAATATCCTTATTATGATAAATAATTAGATTTCCCTCTAGCTCGAATAGTAAGGGCCTGTTTGGAACTGAAAGTATCTATTATAAGTTGCCACTACTGCTTTTCTCTACTCAGTAACTAATGCATGTGCATATACAGCTACTGTTTTTTATTGATTAATATCGGACCATTGTAGTGAACATACCAGACGCTCAGAAAGTTATGGAATTCTTCAGCTAAAGTTTTCTTTGAAAAATAATAGTGCATATTCCCTATTTGATTAGGGATATCGGTCTGGTCCGGCATGCAGTGAAGTCAATGGGAGCTTGTCTGCTGGCATCAGTGGGTTTTTTATCAAATTCTGAAGTGCAGGATGAACCTTCTCAGCTGGTGTGAATCCAGAGTGCCAAATTCTACTTCCATTTACTTCATTTTAAATTCTGTTGTTATGCACTCAATCAAATACTGAATAGGCATGACAACAAATGCATGTAGAAATTGGCCCATTCACTACACTGGAGCTGCTACTCCTGATTCCCACCCCTCGCCCCAGTGTGGCAAAGAATCAGCTTCCCAATGTACCTATTTTCATTGAGGTAGAAAAAAGGAAATTAATTTAAGGTTCAAATGCCACATGCTATATTGATGCACCACCAGGGTGGGTATTTTTTTGCTGCTTGGATTTTGTTTTCTAGCCACACATACAATTTTTGCATTTTTCCTCTATTGCTATTATAAATTGAATTTTAAATTTTGAACACAAAATCTGGTTATTTTGCATGTGGTTGCATGCTCTTCCTACTGAGCCAGCTGGGTTTGAGACCACCATCTGTGTAGTACTGATTAGGCCTGTTTTCATAGCCTACCTGCTTTTCAACTCACAGCAATAAACCTGTACATAAAAGACCAAACACCCCATTTTTCTAGGCTTGCTGCCATCAGCTTTCTAGGTAAATTCCTGGTTGCTGCAACAGGGTTGAAAGTGTTAAGGCAATGACACTTCTGCTTAATTCATCAGAACCAAAAAAATTGAGAGCATTAATTACCTGCATGGGGAGGAGGTTTCTAAAAGTTTTTTAATCTAGCAGTCTAAGGCATAACAAAATGTGATTTGAAATGGAAGCTATGTAATTCCAAGTTTGGAATTAGGTGCTAAATTTTAAGGGGGGGGGGGTGGAGGCGGGGAGGGGTGATTAAATGCTCATGCAGCTTACCAGGAGATGTGCCAGTCCTCTATCAAATGAGGTTTTAAATTAAAATTAGATATTTTCCTGAAAGGTGGTCTAGAAAGCACTGGGTTTAATACAGGAAATAGAGAAGAGAATTCTAGGTTATGTGGTCACTACAGTGAAGTACAGACAGTTAAAAACCCAAGTTCGAATTGATTCAATTTTGGCAGTTTAGTCTAAGCTGCACAGATTGAACCAATAGGCAAGTGCACAGACATTCATTTTTGATTCCAGAAATGCAGCCAAATGCCTGCAGTAGCCCAGGCCAGAAGCTGAGAGGTGCTAGAGCATACCTCCCTGCTCAGCTGGAGCAGACATCTTGGGCCAAGGCTAGTCCCCCTGTGAGGAGGAGGTTTATGGGAGAGGTACAAAGCATCCTGGGATGCTGGAGGACTGTGATTTAATTTGAATCTGGAGGAGACTGGGGACAGAAGTTCAATAAACCATTTAATTTAAATCAGTTGAATCTGATACTACATCCATCCAGATTTATCTTAAACTAGTTTTGGCCATTTTGAAAGTGGTTTCTGTGCACTGAGCTTCTGTTATGTTACAGATTTGAACTGGTTTCTAAGCACTTATACTAGTTTATGTGTAATTCTTGTTCCTTGCCTAGGTGCTGGTCCTGGCTGGCCATAAAATGGAAGCAGGATTTGATCATTTAGGCCAATGGCTGATACACTAGTAAAATCTAATGAGTCAACATTACATTGTTTTTCTAAACTGGGGAAAACTAAACCACAGGACCTAACAATCACCGGTCGTTATGCTCTTTACTATCTTACCAGTGTGCAAGCTTTGATTCTTGAATTTGACCTCTCTCTCACCCAGTACCAGCAGGGATGATGCTATTTCAGTGCAATCAGCCTGGCTTCTGTGATGCTCAGCTGCAAGCTTTACTAACCAGTGAAATCAGGTGCTACAAAGAGAGCCCCATACAGCATTCAGCTACAAGCTGGTAAATGCTACTGCTTGTGGTTTTTTACGAAGAGACAAATTAAAGGAGAGAGAAATGGTATAAATTGTCAGGCTGTGACTGAGGTTAAGTGTTTTCTGTATGTGCATGTGTGTATGAGGGAGATACCAAGGTGTTATGAGAACCAGCAGAGTCCCTTCCCTTGCGAGTACTGGAAGGAGAGAAAGTTCATGGACTCATCAACTTTTGAAATGAAAAAGATCTATTGGACATCTCCCTGCTTCCTCTGACAGCATAAAATTTTGCCTCATGGCATATTCATTATTTTTCATATTCCAGATCTTTTCCTTTAGCATCCAGTTTGAAACGAACTTATTGACAAAGCTTCCTAATTTTATTCTATTTGTATAGGGTGGTATTTTCAAAAGCAATCAACACTGGCCTAACTCAGCTCTTGTTGAAGGCCACTGGAATTTTAATGCCGACTGCCATGCAAACAGCATTAGAATCATAGGCAATGCTTTTGAAAATGCCCCCCTCTATATTAAGACAAGGAAAGCCTTCCCCTTGTATTCATGTATTTTTAAAACCACATTAAGGAGTTATTATGGACTTGACACTTTCAAGACATAAACCTTCAGAAAATGGCAGAGTATATCTGACTTCCTATGTGAGTCAATACCCTGACCCAACTGTTACCTTACATTTACTGCTGTTTCCTTTCCATGCAGAACTAAGCAACCCTGGTTAGGTTCTATTTTTAATAAATCAGTACAAATACCAAATGCATGTAGAGTATATGTATGTGCACTCTGTATAACATTTACATTACAGCTTTTCAGAGGAAAGCTTTAATACTGTGTTTGAAGTCATTTTATTTTTATAGAGTGCTGCTTGTTAAAAGTTGTAAATCCTCTTTGTGCTGCCGAGGCTGTATCTAGCCTTTGGTTAGATTGAAATATAAAATCCAATGCTGCATTTGCTTTGCTTTACTTGAACTAATGGTGAGCTCTGTAGGCACTATCCTGTGAGGGGCTGCCTGGCACCCGATAGCTACCATTGTCTAAACTGAGGACAGGATCACAGTCTATTCTAGGAATAGGCAACCCTTGGCATGCATGCCAGAGCATGGCATGGGAAGGCATTTTTTTTGGCACTTGTTCCTTGGGGAAAGGGATGAGGCTGAGCTGCCACAACAAGGATTGGGCCCCCACAGTTCCTCTGGTGTCTGCCCCTGGCATGCCAACACTTTACAAGTCAAGGTTGCAGGTGTTTTTGGCACTCTGCCCAAAAATGTTGCTGACCTCTGGCCTGTTCTGTAGGCTTGGACAGGAGTGCAAGAAGGCATAAAGAGGCCACTTGCTACCCTGAGGTAGTTATAAGCTTTGGGGGAAGAGAGCATCCAAAGAGCAACTGTTTCTCAGCTTGGATAGGCAAATAAACCCAACATCCCGTTTTTCCCAGGCTTATGCACTCTGACACATGGGTAAGCTGGGATGTAGCAGGCCATATGTTGCATTAGGTAGATGGACACCTCCTTCCAAAATTCACCATGGGTCAGGAAGCAGACTGACTTTCAGAGTCAAAATGTGCTTCCTAGGTTGTAGTTGGCCTAGGGCAGCAATGGGCAGCCCCAGATACAGTCCTATGGAGAAGGTTTTGAGTGTGCCCTGAAGGCCAAATTCTTGGAAACATTCAGGTATCCATCTCCCACTGAATTCATTGAGATTTTGGTGCCTAAATACATTTTAAAAAATCTGGACCTGAGGGTTACAGGCAACAAAGACTTCACAACACTTGGTAGGAATTGGTCCCCTGAAGAGCAAGAAGAAATTCTCCTGCAAATGTCGGACAGCGATACAAGCAGAGAAAAATCTTGAAGGTGAGGCCTTATGCCTTAATCTGGAAGTAAACTAGACAACTGTCCACACCTCTCAAGGCCTTTTGACTTTTCTCCGAATATGTTGTTCAGAAATGTAAAGTAAATGCGTTTCCTTCCTTGACAATTCCCAGATAGGCAGATTGGATTTGGGGGAAGTTGCACGAACTGCATCATTCCCTTGAAACTTGCAACTGAGAAAACAAGCAAAAGGAGCTTTTTTTGTGCATGTTTCTCAATTGTTTTCAGTACTCACCACAACTCAGCACTGCAAACAAAATACCACAAAAAAGTCTGTTCTCCTGAGACTTCTGGCTCTGTAGGGCAGACCTGAAAGGGGCCATATAGCTGGGAAGTTAGCAAGACTTCTGTGTGCTTTTCCAAAATAAAGACCTGAAATTTGCTCTCCGTCCCCAAGTGAACCAAGCAACTTCACCGTCCTTCTTCAAGACCTTCCTTAAATATAAATCCATTCAAGTCCAGCTTTCAAATACTACCAGCCTCACTCACATACCTTCTCTCAATCATCTCCATTTGATTGGAATTACTCTTAACTTAGAACTAAACAGATCTTCAGCAAGCATATGGTACCATCTCTATGGCTGCATGTTGGATCCAGCCCTAAGTCCTTTGTCTGCATCAGGTATAAGTTAATGTGGGGTTCAGGAATTTGTTTCACAGGATATAGCAATACTGGTGCACTACAATGATGAGGTTTAACTGGTCCATTAAGCAGTTAGTGGCTTTACATGGCATAGAGTTTCTGGCAGTTGCAAGCACTGAAGCTTAACTGGCCATGTAAAAAGGTTTGTGGTTGAAGTTTTAACCAATATGTACTAGGATTTATGGCCCAGGTGTCTGCACTGGGCAGTGTACGTCAGTAGTACTATATAGGTAATCAGTCAAAAATTAAACAAAATAGTCCACAACGTCCCATCAGGGATGCCTTTGTATTTTTTTTTTCTATCCCCTATTTGTATATCACCTTGAAGGGTGTTTTCGTGACTAGCTGTGTGTATGCATATGCAGCTTCCTACTTGGCAGTGTGTACGTATTTGATGGTTTCTTTCCTTCCCAGAGCAGAAAGCTGTTCTGCATTCAGTTTAATCGAACGAAAACTCAGAATTTGCCATGATATTCAGACAAGGCCAACCTGAATGGTTTTTGCCAGATCCATTTCAATCCCAGTGCACCTATAAAAAAAATGGTTTGTGTTGTTTGTAAAAGATTTAGGCATTCCTCCTGGAAAAGAGGCTAGGCTTATGTGTATATGTATCTATTGCCTATAGGAAACACTTTTACTTTAAAAACCAGGAGAGATCTATTTCAAGAAAAACTAAAATCCTTCATTTCTTCACCCCACACTTCCCTGAAAAATGCTGAAAATTATATAGGCTGCTCTCCCTTTCCAGTAAGCTACAGAATACTTAAATTGATCCCTTTATGCCTCTCTTTCTAACACTGATGCATGTGCACACACTGGTGATGACTATCAGACTCCAGATGTTTGAGATCTTGGCAGCTTTGCCCTCTTGTTGAACCTTTGTCATCAGCTGTAGCAAATAGCTGTTACTTTGTAGCTGTTGTTGACCTAAACATTTCCTGACAGCGGTTGCGCCCTACTCCCATGATTGGCATTTTCCAGAAAGCTGATGCATCTGGTGGCAGTTGATGTTTCAGATTCGGTAGCTGGTAAAATGAGTTCAGTCCGCATTGTGCATAATTCAGTAAATGCTGCATCAGCTTTAGCCTGCTCTGCATTTAATTTATTAGGCCAAGAGATGCATTTTATATGCATGGATTGATTGTTATTTTACTAGGTGATGTGATTCAATCAGTAGGTGATGAATGCCTTTTAGTGTATTAGACTGTTTCAGTTGTTGATGGTATCTAGTTCAAGAAGGGATGTACTTGATTTAGTGACATGTTTTCTAATGTAATTGGAGATGCTTTTCATTCAGTAGCACATTCATTTTTCTCGCTATTATGCAATTTCTTACTGATAAGTGATTGACAGATATCCCTCTTGATCTGGACTGGTTTTAATCCTTTTATCTCAACCTCCTTACCTCTGATCTGTTTAGGCCCCTGCCTCTGCATTTAGTTGCACCCAAGCTAAATGGGATATACATCTTTGCATGTTTAGGGCTATAGTGGGTAAGTACGATGGGTCATGGAGCGGGAGTCATCAACCTTTGCCCTGCAGGCTAGATCTGCACCACCAAGTTGTTTAATCTATCCTGCAAAACTCCAGATATCCATGGCATTTCAGCAGTGAGGCAATTTGACCACATTTTGGCAGAGGAGAGATTCTGTGGCAGATGACGTGCTGGTGGGGAGAAGGGCCAGTGGTCAGGTCATTAGCACCAGTGCGCCACAGATTGAGCTGTATTATTTCAGCTGACCACTCCCAAAACACTGCCAACTCCTGTATAGAGAGAGCCTGGCATATCAGATCTCATATAGGGCCCCTGGACACTACTGAAATAAGAGCGGGGAGATGAGATTTACCATAACTGCGCAGTTGTGTCATTGTGGCAGAAGGCCACCTCTGTTTCTCCCCAAAAACTCTACTCTGTGACAATTTAGTTAAGATGGGCCCTGCAGAGGGTACACACGTTACCCTATCTCTTTAGGTAACCTGAGCTGGATACATTCCTGAGGAAGGGCAGGGGGGTAGGAAACCTTCTCCCTCTGCCTATGTGACTTGCATCATGTACCTGGGTGAGGGGCTTGGGCTCCCTGGAGAGCTAGGAACTGCCAGTCCACCCAGCAACTAGTGATGCATGTCAAATTGGTTGACTGACAGCCAACAGGTGCTGGCCTCCATTGGACCAGGTAAATGAGGTCATAAGGGCTATATAAGTTAAAAACTGCCCAGGAGGAGGGGGCAGCAGCCATGAGGAAGACTCAGAGAGAGAGAGAGAGAGGAGCTGGACCATCTGAAACTTGCTCTCTCTCTCAAAACTCACGATCAGGGAACTACCTGCCTCCAGAGGGAATCTCTACCTGCCTCTGGATGATACTTGTGAGTAAGCTACCTGAGATCTTACTAGATATATAGCTTGTAGTAACTCAGATGTGTGATCAAAGGCTACCCAGCCATGCCGGTTTGCTCTATGGGATTTCTCTGATATTGCTGTACCCTATTCCAACCCTACCTCTTGTAACCAATAAAGCTCCCCCTTGTACCTAGCATGGGAGATTTATTGGGAGTGGGTCTAGATTATGTCTTGGGGTCCCCTTGATTCAGCTGACTAAGGGAGACCACTACTTTTGCTTCTGACTGAGGAAAGCATCCCAAGTTCTTGAAGTGAATCAAGTACCCTCGAGGGCTACTAGGCCTGTGTTTACCAGGGTGTGCAGAGCCAGAATCAAGCCCAACCCTGGGTGGTGGCAGTGTTACCCCCAGGCTAGCGGGTGTGCTCCAGGAAGGGGTTCGGCCAGATGTGAGGCACCCCAGGGAGGCACTCAAAGCCTGGAAGGTGGTTGGGTGCAGTCAGGTGGGTAGCTCAATGCAGGAGTGCTCCCTACTGGCCCACCACACATGGTGTTAGGGCGGGATACGACAACCTGCTGTATTGAAGGCATAATCTGGGGAAGGGAATAGAGTCACTGAAAACCCTTGAGCAAACAATTTCTAATTTGGCATCAGGTCAACTAGACACTGTAGATAGCTAGGATGGCTGACGAGTATGACCACCTGGCGGTGGCTGACTTGGGAGATCTAATGAAAGAAGAAGCAAAAGAGAGAAGACCTGATTAAGATCCTGTGTGATAATGATCAGGCTACAAGATCACCCCCGCGTGTCCTTCCAGAATCCACGAGGGGCACTGAGGGGCCACCCTCTGAGTGGGACTTCCAGAAATACCAGCTGCAGCTAGAAGCTGAGAAGCGAGAGTGCAAGTTCAAGCATGAGCTAGAGTTGAAAAGGATGGAGCTGGAAGCCCAGCACCAGCGTGAGGATGAACAGCGTGAGCACAAGAAGGAACAGAGCAAGCATGAAGCTAGAGAGGCTCAGCGCCAATGGGAGCATGAGCTTGCAGTACTCCGGATGAAGACAAATGCTGAAACTGCAGGCACCCAGCCCACACTAGATTCACCCTGCAAACTGAACACCCCAGTCTTCTCTCGCTACAAAGACGGGGATGATCCAGAAGTGTTCCTAAGCATCTTCGAAAACCAAGTGCACCGATGGAAATTGCCAAAGAAAGAGTTAATGAAACACATGGCTGCTCTGGTAGAGGGTGACATGTCTGTGGTCCTGAACAGCCTGCCCTTGGAATCAGCAGATAACTATTATGCCTTTAAAAATGCTGTGTGTTCAACAATCAAGTTAGGACCAGATTATTTCCAGAAAAAATTCTGGAATACCATTCCACAACCAGGGAAGACAATGGTCAATTTTGCGGCCCAGGTGTGGGACTCCATCCTTAAATGGGCAAATGTAGCCAAGGCTGACAATAGAGAGAAGACGCTAAGCCTCAAAACACTGGACCAATTTTATCACTGCTGTCCAAGGGAGATTAAAACCCTAGTCAAAAACAGGGCCCCCAAAACCATCCAAGAGGCCACTGAAATTGTGGACCAGCTGTTGCTAAATCACGAGGGGCTGGACAAGAAGCCTCCCTACTTTGGGAAGGAACAGAAAGGGTTCCAAAAAGGGGGAAAGGGAGGGCCAGGCCCAAAGGAGGAAAGAGGGCCACATCCTGCTGAGTGCAAGGCAGCCCCAGATTCGGACAAACCACCCAATTCAGAAGAGAGGGGGCACTATAACTGCAGGGAACCAGGCCACATCAGTCCCAACTGCCCAAAGATAAGCAACAAACTCAAGCCAGTCAGACATGCAACAGCTGTAAGCAGTGAGGGGGCAGCCCCGAGCCACTCTGAGGGGTGTGCCTGTTGCTAGAGTATTACAAACCCAGAGGAGGTGATGGCCTTTCACGGGACTAAGATAATGGTAAATGGGAGAACCCTTGTCGGGGAAGAGGACACAGGGTCCAGTGTGTCATTTATCAATGCCAGCTGCAAATATAGTGCCAGGGAGGACCCTTACCATTCAAGGTGTTGGGTCCCCGCCATTTGAGGTACCAGTAACCTGTCCCCCATCGAGTGGAGAGGCTGCGGGATGTGCTTAGAACTGGGGGTGCTGGAAAGGGCTCCTGTTCCCATCCTGGTGGAACATGATGTTATGGAGCTAGAATACCTGCAAAGGGAGGAGGGCTACCTCCTAGAGCCCTACCATGTTAATGTGGTGACTTGTCAACAGAGCCAAAAGGCTAAGGTGGGAGGAGTGGAAACTTCCCAGGACCTGGTCCCCCAATTGGCTACTAAGGCAGAGGAGGAGGAAGGAGAGACTCAGACTCCCTCTGACTGCAACCAGCCCTTGGCCATTGAGGAAACCAGTGACCTCGAGGTTGGGTTAAGTGACAGACCGAGGGAGGAGTCTGATCAGTAAGTGGCAGAGGAAACTGAGACTTTTGGGGAGAAGTTAAAGGACACCCCCGAGGGTGCAGGTGCACTTCTTACAGGAGCACCAGAACTCCCTGCTGATTGCTTAGCTGGGCAGGAGGAGTTCAAGCAGGAGGTTCTAGAGGACCCCAGCTTGGAGGACCTCCGGCAGATGGCTCAGGAGCAAGAGACAAGAGTTCACCCCAGATAAGAGGGAACAGGTGGTCTGGGATAAGGGACTTCTCTATCGGTTGTGGATACCAAAGAACCATGCTGAGACCTGGGAACCCCATCACCAGCTCATAGTACCTCGTAAGTTCAGACATCAATTGCTTTCCATGGCTCATGATTTACCGTGTGCTGGTAACATGGGCAGGGAATAAACACACCAGTGGCTGCAGGCCCAGAATTGCCCAGAATGTGACAGACTACTGCAGAGCTTGCAAGACATGCCAGCGGACGGGCAAAAGTGGGGACAAGAGAAAGGCTCCTGTACAGCCCCTCCCTATCATTGATCAACCCTTCCAAAGATTGGGGATAGACATTGTGGGCCCTCTGAGGCATAAGACTCGTAGAGGGAAGAAATACTTCCTGACTTTAGTGGACTTTGCCACTCGGTATCTGGAGGCAGTTGCCTTCACCTCCACAGAGGCACCTATGGTTGCTGATGCCCTAACCAAGATCTTCTTCCAGCTGGGTTTTCCCTCCGAGA